TCACCTCAGAGGGTATTCACTGAAGTTGGTACTCTAAAAGAGCCGTCTCGACTGCAGACACCATTCGTTTGCAGTCAGAGTGTGCAACACATGAAACTCTCCACCAACTCACGTGGTCTGAGCGCCAACATTAGTATCTTTCAAGCGACAGCTTGATGATGCCCTGGCAAACATCATGTTTCAACACCTGACTATATAATATATTTTCCTGTACTCGTCACAAACATTACATTACTCTTTTTCGTACATGAACTAACTATGATCTTGTGAATTGCTTTCCGACCCCAAAGTGTAAACACCCTATGGGATTTGATAAGCGAAGTCTTTAAGTTTTTCCCATAATAAAAATTTGAATATGAACACCAGTGTGTTAATAATTGTGGTACACCAAATAACTAGATACACAAACGGCTCATAGCGAATTCTCAGTTTCAATAATACAGACGCAACCAGTGGTACACGAGGTCAGTCTCCGTCCAATCCTTGGATGTACGCCTGCATCTTTGCATTGACTACAATGCAGTTTGCAAGGAGAAGTAACGCGGACAGCTTGGTGAACGTGGTTGACACAGTCAATCAATACCGGATGGGAATAATTTACTTTTACTTCTCCTTATGAGGAGGATAAGCCCTCTTTATATATATTCGAAATCGCGGTTGCCCCCGCTTGGCGGTCGCCAGCAAAATCAGCGCAGATTTCAATCCGAATTGCCTTCCATTGACGATTGCTGTTGACGGATAGGAGACCCACGTCCTGGCGGACCGTGTTTAGCGAGGTTTTCATCTGTCCACCGAGTCAAGGGAGTCAAGGGAGACTTGATCCGGTCGTTCTCAGATTTGCGAATTATTGGAACAAACCATTGTAGTTGCAGCCGCTATATTAGCGTCCGTAGCCGTATAAGAACAAAACACCGGTTTCTGACCGCCTTGTTTGATAGCTGATCTTATCATCGTACTCCCAGAATGATTCTCTAAGTGTCCAGGTTTCGTAGCCGTACAGCAAGACAGGACCGAATGCTACGGAGAAACCTCACACTTTTATCTTTATGTTAAATTCATTTCTGTACCATAAAGAGTTGTTCTGGCAAGATCGACGTGCACTTTTACCTGTTCTTTGGCTTGGCTGTTAGGCACGTTGTTTGAGCCAAGGTATTTGAAGTTTTCAAAGGATTCGATCGGTTCGCCATTTAGTTCAATAGAACCTTCGGGATAAATTACGACTGTCGCAAACGTTTTGGTTTTCGATACGTTTACCTGTAGGACGACCTCGAAGACCTGTCGACTGATGCGATCTACGATCCCCTGGATGTTGTAAATGTCCATACCAAAGATAGCAATATCATCAGCAAATTCTAAGTCGATGAGCCAGAAGGTTGGAGAGATCTTAAATCCCTGGTATCCTTTCATAGAATGACCCATTATCCAGTCCACGGCAAAGTTGAACACCATTGGTGGTGGCTCAGTGGTTTAGTCGCTGTCACCGACGTGCTCTGAACCCTACGGTCCGAGGTTCGAGTCCCGCCACCGCCACCCGACTTTGGTGGTAGGCACCTATCCTGTCGTCCGGTTCAATACCACGCCTAACCTATCGCTGCCTTATATGGTTCGTCACTCCAAGTCCCGGGGCTTAGATTGCCGGTTTCCACCACTGAACAGCATGCCCTCGTGACAATGGAGACTCCCCGTCTGCTGTTGATCACACATAGGTGTGTCATAAAAAAATGGTCATCTCTGTCGTACTCCAGATTCTGTTGAAAAACAACACTAGTTTTCGTAGAGTCGGGGCCGGAATAAACAGTAGTTAATTTTGAAATCGAAGGTTGCAGTAGCGCAAATAAGCACACGCGTAAGCACGCACCTACTGATCAACGAAATCAACTCCTTTAGATCATGCATTGCTATTCTGATACCCTTTCTCAATTACCGTTACCCGCCGCGAGACCCAGGTTGCCCGATTGATAGTGATAGCGATGAGTGCAAGCAACGGTTCACATGTAGGTAACGCATGAGCCATGGTTACCGGTGTGACATGGCCCGATAGGACTTTTCAGGAAGAAGTGGATGAACACACAAACACAAATAGACGCGAATAACGACAAAATCATTCAATGTCAGGAGAATTGGGTCGTATGACTGCGGCATGTCTCACAACGGTCTCTGACGAGCTTTAAAAAAAGACTGAGAAATATGGGCTGCATGCCACGAGGTATCAAAAGTATACGGACATGACAGCACTGATGAGGTAAGATGTGACCAGCACTACTCTAGCCATCGTGCGCAGAGCACAATGCTTCACCCTCTGTACTTCTGACTGACACAGTCTAATGTGAATGTCAGAAAATGGTATAATTTCCACTATCAGGATTCCACATTAAATACAAACATTTAGTGTTGTCCATTAGCCGCATCGGAGTTCTCTAGACTACAGAAAACTGATTACGAAAATAACAGACTCGCGTAAGTGATAAAATGTCACTTTTTGGAATAGAGCCACAAGCTTCCGACGCGCAACGAAAACAACTGGATGTAGCTGCGTTTCCTTTGTTCAAATGCTGATCGACTATTATGCTTCGTGACGAGTGTTATTTGTAACCGAAGGTGTCATATCACGTGAAGTTAACTATTGTTACTGAAAGAAACCGGTGATCTAGGTGTTTCATCAAGAGTTTCTCTAAAGTTATTCTCAGCACAATACTGAAAGCTGCGGTTTGATTTCCTAACTAGTATTTTTTGCAGCAAAATATTGCATTTATGAGGTGTGCAGTCATGCCAACATCGATGAAGATGCAAATAGATAATGAAGAGCTTCTACAATGAAAGAACTTTAAAAATCTCATGCATTGTTTGGTCTCAATCGTAGAGTGGTTGTCCTTGAATAGTTTCCACATCAGCTAAGCTATGGACTGGTTATTCCTGGTTTCCATACACAAGCCCTGTGTTTTTGATTAGTTTTTGAAGACCTTAGGTAATGACATTCTAAGAATAATGCTCCCTTCCTAGAATATTGTTTGGGGTTTGATGCATCTTGTCACGCGTCTTAAATCTCTTTATTTATTGCCATCAATATAGATGATAACAGTAGATCGTTTAACTCGCTATCGCTAAGCGTATCACTTTCTCGTATTTATTTAGCCTGTGCACTCAATTAATCATGATTAACCTCGGAATTTCAGTTATTGAAAAATGCACTGCAAACAAAGGTCAGTAGGCGAAACAGACCGGTTTTCGATAAATTGATCAACTGACAGTTAAAATTGTTTAGGGGTAACTTGTATTGTTCATTTGGGTTTTGATGCTACCTAAATATGTCGGGAGAGCATGCTAGATTTTTTCACATGATCTGTATCCCCCGGGGGTATGGAGAGGGATGCTAATGCAATCTACCTGTTACTTTTCACTTTCATAGTTCTGTTTTCTCTTTCGATTCATTGAATCGTTCGTAGTTCTTACATATTTGATTTTCGCATTCTGTCTATTGTCCCGAAAGAACATTCTCGTCACACGGTACCATTACGTACCTGTAAATAGGTATGTCCATAGAGAACTGCGATTTCTGGAGAGAATGTTTGTTTCTCCGGTTTCATCGATTTGAACCGTGGATGTGTTGTCGATAATCTCGGAGACATGCATGTGTTTCTTTCTTTTCTGTGAGTACTGAGTAAGAGTTTGTATATAATTATATGCGTCGTTGTTCCCATGGAGTTTGAGATTCCAGAAATCTCATCAACGTGAGTGATTGAGTGCGATTGACGTTTTCTCTGAGCAGGAAGCATAATCCCCAAGTAAATATCCAACTCATTTCATTTACGTTATATTTTCCCCTCAAGAAACTCAAATGAGGTTCGTGTGTTCCTCCATGTGCGGTTATTTTCGTATGTCGTTTGCCCCTATTTACTTCATTTTTCCCTCAAGCAAGAAAATTGCCTGTGATTTCTTCCGTGAGCTAGATGAGAGATTTGTTATGACATATGCCATCACTCTTAGAGCCGTAGTTGACAACTCGCCAAATTTCTCGATAAACCGTGTTTTTTGTTTTCACGCTCCGATGGTACAAACGCCCACTGTTCCTCAACTGCTACGTCCTCAACGAGACTATACTTTCTACCCTGATCAGTGCAGTTATGCATGTTTATCGCTGTTTCATATTACAACGCTTTTCTATTACAAAAACTATACTTTGCTCAATGACCAGTAAACCAGTAAACGAGAATTCAATGATGTGAATGATAATTATATTAATTTGGACTGTTTATCAACGAACAACGAACAGAACTTCTCAAGCTCATTTCTTGTGAAAAGATTCATGTATTCCTACACATATGAAACAATTGCAAAAAAACATTGATTTGAATCCATTATGCTTTTTGTGATAAATGAAGCCTTTTCAACGAAGATGCTCAGAGTTATTCCATTGCAAACTTTCGAACAAGTAAACATTGTTATTGACGTATCCAAGACTGCTCCAGTGTCTTCTATGTAATGAAATCTGTAAATGGGGAGAATATTCCAGTCTGGCAGTGAATTGTAGGCATCTACACAGGCATCCCAAGTGGGTACAACTAACGGTTTTATTACTCACCACAAATTCAAGAAGAAAATATTGGCAATCACAGTCAGTAGTAGTTGGAAAGACAGCCGGAATGAGGAAGCACCATCTAATAAAAGTGCAATATACGGCAAATTTCAGGTAACTATGTAGATAAGTATAAAATATTTCACCTGATGAGAAAAAAGCATGTTGCTATTATTACGGTAGCATATAATCCTCAAATCACTTCAATAATTGTACACCCTTAAAAAAGTGCTATTTCCTTTGGTAAGTAAAACATGAAACTCACCTAGTATGTAATAAACAGTAATATCTGAATTAAGTTTTGGGGATCTCGCTGCCCGCACTAGATTTACTTCCAGAGCTCTAAAGTTGTTCGTTACTGTTTTGCTTGCTGATGCAGTTGAGGTTGTAGTTGGCACTGTTGTGGTTGTGATCGGCGACGTTGTCGTCATTGTTGGTACAGTTGAAGTTGTTGTCGTTTCGGTTGTAGTTGTTGTCGTTTCGGTTGAGGTTGTTGTCGATTCGGTTGTGGTCGTCGACGGTACAGTTGAGGTTGTAGTCGGCACTGTTGTGGTCGTTGTCGGTGCAGTTGTCGTTGTTGTCGTTTCGGTTGTAGTTGTTGTCGGTACGGTTGATGTTGTTGTCGAGTCGGTCGATGTCGTCGTCGGTACAGTTGAGGTTGTAGTCGGCACTGTTGTGGTCGTTGTCGGTGCAGTTGTAGTTGTTGTCGGTACGGTTGAGGTTGTTGTTGATTCGGTTGTGGTCGTCGACGGTACAGTTGAGGTTGTAGTCGGCACTGTTGTGGTCGTTGTCGGTGCAGTTGTAGTTGTTGTCGGTACGGTTGAGGTTGTTGTCGATTCGGTTGTGGTCGTCGACGGTACAGTTGAGGTTGTAGTCGGCACTGTTGTGGTCGTT